ATAAACAATTCGCAGGTGTTCTTAGTTTACAATAACACTACTGATAGCTTCTGTGAGAGGGAAAAGTTTGACACGGGACAAGAGAGAAGCAAGAGAAGTTCTTGCTACTGCATGTCTGCATCCACACTCTTATAGCCTATTAACACATCCTCACTCAAAGTCCCCCAGCCAGAAGAAGAAAAGAACCAAAAAGTGAAGTAAAACTTTGCATCAGCATTTTTCTTCCTGCCCTTTCAGCTGTAAAAGGTGGTCCCCTGAAGCCCTGGCAGAAGTAGCCAAGAAATTGCCTTTTTTTTGATGGTCAGGACTTGCCTTTAGAGGGAAAAACCTCATTTAACTGAGCTATTGCCAAATAGCACCATATTCCCAAGGATCATTTTACAGCATGAAATTTAGAAGGATTTGCACTGTAGAAATTCCTTTGTTACTTCATGTGGTATTGCTGCTTGGGCTAAATTGACAAAATATTTATCCAAAGGGTAATGCATCCCTTTCCGCTCTGTGCCTCCTTCTCGTTCAAGGCCATTCCAGTTTGGGTTAGTGGTTTCTCGGCATTGATACCTGGCATTTCCCCAGAATTTTCTTTCTTTCTTTATTTATTTATTTATTTTCTTATGCTAGAGTTACTGACAGGCGCCTCATGAGGGCAGCATGTCCCCTCTTTTTCTTTTTACCACCTCTCTTTCATTAGGTCCTGCTCTGCTTCCGAACGGAATAATAATAAAAAAACCTCCTCTGTATTCATTACAAATGGCACTATTCTGCTTATACCACTTAATTTAACAAGGGTCCCAAAACAAGTTGGTGACATCCCACCTCATGACACGCTGGCACTATAAGAAATATTGCTGCCCTGCTTTGCAGTTAGGGAAAAAGCAGCTAAATAAATCCATGGAACATGTTCAGGGTGCCCTATGGCTGGCAGTTGAGGAAGGAATAAATCATTGCAGGTGGCCTTCTCCCATAAATTTAGTCATGTACACTTTTGCCTCAGTTCTGTTTGCTGGAGAGCTCTGATTGGAGGCCAAGAGGACAAAATAGGACATAAACTATGTAAATACATGGGGAAGGAGAAGTGACAGTGGGAAGTACCCTCGTCCAGCCTGAAAGGAGGCACAAACAGATACAAAACCACGTCAAAGCCCCCCATCTACTTTCCTTCCCTTTTTAACAGGCAAGTTCATGAGTCTACTCCCAACCAGAAGGGAGAGAGATGTATCTGCCAGGAAGGGACAAATTTAGGGTTACCAGGGCTCTTGCAGGTATCATGAGAAATGTGAAGAGAGCAAGGAGGTCTTACAGCACTGGAGAAGTCCAAATAGACTTAATATCAAGATAAGTAACAGCAGAGGAAGGAGAGGTTGCTGAGCTAAAGGCCAGACAGGTCCACAGAAAAACAAAGATGTCCATTTCTCAAAAAACAGACTGTAAGAACCGCTTTATCAGGGCTTGTCTATCACAGGTAGAAGCCTGCCTCTTGTTATGGCCAAGGGAAGACACCTAGACAACAAGAAGTGTAGTGATACCATCCTGACACTGTCCCGACAACCTGTAGCGTGGTCACTACTGAGTCATAGGTGATAACTACACCATGTATTAACATTTAGGTTATTTTACATTATGATCTCTTTTATTCTGGATGTTGTGTACATCAAAGGCAGCCCCTCCCCAAGGAGTACTATGTTACATAGGCAAGGGCATAAGTAGGAAAATGTAGGCACAGGAGGTGGTACCTACAGTACCTGGACATCCCCAGTGAGTCTTTCCCTAATTCAGTCAAAATCAATAGACATACCACAAGCCAGAGATTAATTTTAGGTAAGGCGCCTAAGATTGGCAAGAGAAGGGAAATGAACTGCAGAACAGCAGCTTGGAAGGAGTTATTTGTCCATGAGCTCAGCTCAGAAAGGCGATTGAAACTTAAATGAGACTACGAAGTCCTGGGCTGGTACCTTGAGCACAAGATGAGATCAGAGGAAACTTCCCCTTTTATAGACTGGTGATAAATGGGTAGAAAGGAACAATATTCAGTACCAATCTCATGTTGGACCTTAATTAAGGGGACTTTGAGTGTAGCCAAGAGTTTCAGGCAGAGCTGGTCCCACCTTGCAGCATGGACAATTATAGGACATTTATTGGTACAGTCCTTTGCAGGAGTGGATCCTTATTTGGAATAGCTCTCTTCCTCCTCTGCTTTAGGGGGATTTATTTGCAAGCAGTAGGTGTGCTTTGATATAAAACCTGATAACTGAACACATTGCTTGGAGAAAGCTCTGCAAGAACTGACCTCCTCCAACTTGTCCCAGGGGCTTAGAACAGTGTGTTCATGGCTTTCCCTGCTGGGCATTTCCAGCCGAGTCACTGGAAACCCAGCCTTAATGTTTGCTAGCAGAAAACATGAGGACCAAATCAATTTGAAGAGGGCTGAGAAGGGTAGGTTAGCAACACATTACGTTTATCTTCTAGAGCAAGAGGCTTCCAAAGTCCATTGCTCAGGTCTGAGAAAGGCACAGAGTAAGTTTAGCTTTCACCCTGAAGACCAGCAGTGCCAGCCTGTGGAAGTCAGCCAGCATTTATCACGAGCCCAGGCCCAACAAACAACAGGTTAAACCCTTAGTTGTTACTAAAAGAGCCCACATGAACTTTACAGCAATGTGCGCTATTTCTGGAGCACTTTGCACCTCCAGTGGTGGAAGGCTAAGAGGCTCTGATAGGAGCTGGAAGGTTATCCTCAGCTGAGGACCAGGGATGCAATCCAGCTCTTTTTGTGGGATGGGACAGATAGGACAGAGAATACCCTCTGCAATGGCTCAAAGCTGCGAGTAGTGGCTGACACTCCAGAAGGCTGCTCCAGCATGACCTGGACAGTTGGCTGGAAGGTTGGGCAGGGAGAAACAATGAAATTAAACAAGAGCAAGTTTAGGGTACTACTTCTGGGGAAGAACAACCCCATGGATCAGTGCAGAATGGGGCTGATCTGCTGGAGAGCAGCTCAGGGGAAAGGCTCCTGGGAGTCCTGGAGAACAGCAGCTGACCATGAGACAGCAATGTGCCCTCACAGCCAAGGCGGCCAATGGCATCCTGGGGTGCATTAAGAAAAGTGTGGCCAGCAGGACAAGGAAGGTTCTCCTCCCCCTCTGCTCTGCCCTGATGAGGCCACAGCTGGAATATTGTGTTCAGTTCTGGGCTCCCCAGTTCAAGAAGGACAAGGAATGACTGGAGAGAGTCTGGTGTAGAACCATTGAGGTGAGCTGGGTCAGTTTAGCCTGGAGAAGAGGAAACTGAGGGGGATCACATTAATGCTTATAAATATCTAAAAGGTACTATCAGGAGGATGGGACCAGACTCTTTACAGTTGTGCCCAGCGACAGGGCAAGGGGCAATGATCAAACTACAACATAGGAAGTTCAACTTAACCATAAGGGAAAAAACTTCTTTCCTGTGAGGGTACCTGAGCAGTTCTGGAGTCTCCTTCTCTGGAGATATTCAAAATCTGCCTGGATGTGTTCCTGTGTGACCTACTCTGGGTGATCCTGCTGTGGAAGGGGGGTTGGACTGGATGATCTTCAGAGCCCTCTTCCGACCCCTATCATGCTCTGATTCTGTGTGCTAGGCAGCCACAAAACCCAAAGTAATTTGCTGAAAGGAGCAATAGAGCATGAAGTTTCTCTATCTGCTCAGTAAAGGAGGTCCACAGCTGTCAGCTGCCTTAGCCCATCCTAAAACCATATAGATTTGCTTAGTCTATCCTGAGTGTCCTATACAGGGACAGTATATACTAGTAGGGGTCTGCTTTTGGCCAGACAGACCAGGTTTCTGCCTGTAAAAGCCAAGGCACAGCTGCAATCACACACACAACTGCTGTAACATGAACCCAGCCACGTACCATAGCAACACAAAAGAGACCAAAGCAGCTCACTATTTTTGCCCATGTTTATTTCTAGAAATTTGTACAAAAATCAATACTCTGTAATACAATAGTCTATCAAATATGACAGATGAACATTTGTCTTTAGAGGCAAGATTCCAGGAATGTGAAGTACCGTCCTCTTGCATGGAAGAAAGGCACATTTTGGAGCTCAAAATACACTCAACTGAACCGTTGAAAAGGCAAGTCAGACATGCAAGTAGTGCAATGTTTCAGGTTTATACATAAACACATTGTACTCTGAAGAAATCTCACTACAAGCATTGTTAACATCCACGTAAACATTTTATAAACACTTTAAAAAGCCACTCACTTTAGATCCTATGCATGAAAAGGCTACTCCTTTACATTCACTGGATGGAATATTTAAAAGCCATCTTTGGGCAGAAGTTACTCCTAGCTTTCCCCAGATGCTTTTGGGATCCAAAACACTTCCACGAGTAGTCCCACTGCATTTACCCCTATGGGTTACCCTAAGGGTCTGCAACGCTGGGGCCATATGATTGCACCATCCCACTGCTCCTAGAACTTGTCCTTGGAGTTTTGTGGCTATGAAAGAGTCCCATATTTACAGCTATATGCCTCTGTGCAAGCAGCACCTGGGACACACCTGCTTCTAAACCGACATTCAAAATACAAGTGGTGAAGTTACAGCCACCAGAGCATCCACCACACTGTATGCATTGAGGTTCACCAGACTCATATCCTTTGGTTTCCTGCACCATCCACACCAGGTGCCACCCCAGGGGGTTTGGCAGCCTGCTTGTCCTTTCAGAAGGGGCTTTTCCAAAGCAGAAATGCCTTTGTGCTATGTAAGCATATCTCAACATGGCTCTTGTGCATCACGCCTGTAATACTGCCATCCCAGTCACATCAACCTGCTGCCTTTTTTGTTTTTAGCCAGATGGATCCTACTCTCCCAAAATAGCTTGTGCTAGTGGGTACAGTAGCTGTAGGAATGCTTCTAATCCATTGCTGGTGATCCAACAGCATTATATAGCAGATTACAAAGGCAATCATTTCCCCCATCCAAATCCTCACAGCAGCGGGGAGTTGTGCTTTTTTTGAATCGAAAGACGTTTGTACTGGGATTTATCCGAAGTAAAGCCTTTTTTTATTTTTAAAAGTGATCTAGCAATACTTTTAACACTTTCTTTGAAAGACACATACACCCACACATGCTTTCAAGTACACGATGACAGCTTGGACTCCTGGAGAAGATGTGTTTTTTTCTGAGAGAAGGAGGTGCTGCTGAGCCAGTCCCTTCAGTTGACTTCCAAGACCTCAGTCTCTGGCAGGCCAAATTTGCTCTTATATTTGTCAAAGAGTTTGATCAGGGAGTCCACGTATATGCTGTGGTATAAGTCCACTTCCTTCTGGGATGGATTATTGATTTTGGGGATGGTGATGGGCTCCCCAACTGATAAAAAGAGGGAGAAATCCACATGTTAGGTTGAATGCGCCCAGACAGTCTGGAAATTCATCCTCTATGGCCACAACTGTGGTAGTTGAGCATATCCACCCCAGTATAGCACAGCTTCCATTATAGCAGAGGTTTGCCCAATTCCTCCCAGTTTTACTAGGCACTGAAGCATAATTGTCTACCACCATGGCCCTCATCCCATCTGCAGTGATAGCCAGATTCATTTTAGCTACATAAATGCCAGCAGTGCAGTGCCTCTACTGTGCAAGGTGGTTGGGAAGCAGTGATAAATCCCTCCTCAATTAACAGGAACCAAGACTAAAAGCTGGTGATTCAAATTCTTGTGTATTCCCCTATGCACACACTGTAAGAGCAAAACAGCACTTTTTTCTCTCCCTCAAAGCCTTGCTGCTTCGGGTTGGAGGATTCAAAGGCAAATTTTAGGCTTGGTTTTAAGATTCAGCTGTCAGACAGTATCACACTGCCAGTCCTAGTAGCGTGGGGGGCCAGGCTGCTCCTGACTTCAGTCATCCAAGGCCAGAGAAGGTAGCAGCCATCAATTTTGCCCCTCAATAGAGCTCACTTGCAAAACCGGCTAGCAGTAGAGCATGAGAGGCTTGTAGCCCATGAAAACTATTCTAGCTCATTCTCAGCTGTGCTGGAAGATTTTATCTAAAAAGGAAAAGAGATTTAAACTCAAGTCTCCAAGACTAGTCTAAAGTAGGGGTATGTCACTGAGTCAAGTATGCTACTACCTAGAGAAGCACAGAGCATGCTTATACCAAGATCTTACCAACAGTAGTAATGGGCTTGGAGTAAGGTAACAATCCCCAAGTGTTGGAGGAGAAGAGGCCACGGCCATGAAAGATGCACGGAGCAAAGCCAATGTGCTTCTGAAACTTCTTCTGAACCCATCTTCCCCAGGAACCCTCCTCGAAGATCACCTGCTTGTACACTTCGTTCTCCCCAAAGGAGTAGACAGGAACCAAGTCCGCACTAGAAAGATGGACATATGTTAGGACCCCACACCCTTGGTCTGTAGTCACTACTACAGCATCACACTCACTGCCGTGTACCCTTTCAGGCTGCACATTTGCAGATTTTATTGGCCAGAGCTTTGTTTGCAGCACAAGATGCTGACATAAGCCAGCCAGACTTGACATGATATAATAGATATACATTTAAGGCACGCAAGAGAATTATACTGGCAATGGGCCCATAGAACACCACCCAGTCAGGCACTGAATATGCTTCCATTTATCGTCATCTGATTTTTGATGGACATCCCATTTCAGACACACAGGATCCCCAGAGATCACAGGGGCTGCACAGGTGATGCCCCATTGCAGGTTACTGACATCTACCTCTCCTTGCCCTGGTAGCCTCCTGCTGCCCTAGGCACCTTCCTATTCCTGTCCCCTGCTCAGAGGCAGAAGCCAGAAGACAGGCTCATGTGTGCGATGCTCTGGGCACACATCCACACAACACAGCAAGACTGCAGAAAGCAGAATCCATCCAAGACAACAGCTGTTTCAGAGACTAAGAGCACCTTTCATACGCCAGCAGTGCTGCTCTAGCATTGAGGATGCCTCATACCCATGCCGTAGAGCCAGCTTCACAAATCCTTTCCGGTTTTTCAGCGTCACAGAGTTTTTCCCTGGGGTGCAGTTCAGAGACTCCGCTGCCCCTCCAACCACAATGATGATGGCATTGCCACTGCCATTCTTGGACAAGATGTAGTCTATGCTGTCACGGTTCACAGGACATATACCTGCATATCCAAGAGACAGATATAAAGGTCAAGCTGCAAGATTAAAATGATCCTGAAAACACCAGCCATACTTGTAGCAAAAAGTTTGTGCCTTGATTGTACATTGAGCTGTTCAACTTCCCTGTGGTCATAGAAGGTTGTGTAAATTATCAGGCAACTTTTTCCTCAACTAAACAAGCAGTCAGTAGACCTGGACAGGACTAGACTTGTTCATAAACAAACCCCACCTACACCAGCTCCCAAAAAGTTGCTCTTAACACAAAAGAAATCAGCAAGGATTTTCTTCTGCACTCAGTGACATCACAGGCAATTGTTTAAAATATCTTCCCTCCAAGTAAACTTTGCAGTAGGAGCCTGATTATCCTTACGAGGGAAGCAAAGCAATTGTGTTACCTTTGGTGCATGAGAGTCTGAATTTGACCACCTCCTCAGGAAAACCAAGTAGTGGGATAGGTCTTCCTTTGGGATGACGCTTTAGTGATACAAAAAGAATAAACTGACATGCTTTCCAGAGGCAGATTTACTATGGATAAGTTTAAAAAATAGTTTTTCTGAACTAACATCTTAAGCTTTTGCATGGTGACAGTGAAATCCTTTGCTATCCTGGGAAGGAAGAGATGTGTGGGACAGAGTGCTCAAGTGCTCTGAGTGCCTAGGAAGGTCTTTCCTCTACCTCACATTGGAAGGGACAGGACTGCACTACCAGTCACAACACTTCTGCTATACAAAGCAATCTCTTGCCTTAAGCACCAGTCCATACTGCATGGATCTTATCATTTCAGCCTAACAAAAGGGGGAACCTTTAATTTGAGTATTTTTAGAGCAAGAGAGTAGAGAAGTTTTATTCTCTATACCTGAAACTCATGCTTTTATCCTAGTTATCGCCAGAGCTTACTCATGCCTCACATTTTTGGCTGGGATAAACCAAGGAGAAGTGAGATGCCATCATTTACATTCCCATCCACACAAGTCTGAGTTGTGTTTGAGTACTTAAGGTCATTGCACTCGGAAGGGCAGTATTACACAATTTAATTTTAGAAGCTGATTCTGCACATGTCATGGCACTTGAACCAAGAACTAAATGATGAATGGGTCCTGTGGAATTATACAGGGCAGGCCTGCAATCGCCTTCATGTGTGTCTGGGCATCAAGGTCACCAACTAATCCCAGCTCCAGACCACAGGGGAGCAGACCTCAGTTAAGATAGATCAGCTGGATTTGAAGATGAAAAACTCATTTCTTTCAGCACAGCTACATCTCTGACCATGTTTTCTTTGAAAGGCTCAGGCTCTGCTTGCTGCTCTGTAAAACAGACAGGAGCCTTCACACTACTCCCATTCTTCACACCAAAGCTCACGGACTACACAGCCCTGGCTAACACAGTGTGGCAGATGCACCCACCCTACTAAAGACCTGAGAAAAACCCAACAAAAGACAGTGCTAAAGTTTCTGGCCCTGGTGGCGCCAGGACTGCCTCCCCCCTCACAGCTCATGTCTGGTCCACACAGTGGGCATCAAAGGCGGGAACGTTGGGGTCCTCAGCCAATAGGGGGTGACACGACCATGGATTGACCACAGATCAGATTCGACCAGGGTATAAATGGGGCCCTGCCAGAGGACTCATTGGAGTCGGTCCTCCTCAGAGCAGCGAGTCTGCAGTCGGGGACTCTCCCCTTGAGTTGGGACACCACTTAAGGTAACTTCTCGAGATTGAGAGCCCTCCCTTTTTGGTGAGTGAGCGAGTGCACATTTTGGATCATTTGGCCAAAAACTTAAGAATTCTTAACTCAGCTGTGTCTGGTAATATTCCCAACCAGCATATCGAACCTGTATTTGTTGAATGTCAGTGCGATGTTGTTTTGGTGAATGAAGTTTTGTCTGCTTCATTTCAGTTGCAGATTAAAGCTTGTTTGAGTTCATTAATTGTGTGCGTGTAGCCATTTTGGTGCGATTCCGTGACACACAGCAGGACAAGATTTATGCTCAGCCATTTCACACTTGTTAGCAGAAGGAGATTATGCCTGCCCACAGCCCTGAACATTTAAATCCTTCCTCCAAGAAATGCAATGAGACATGCAGACAAGTGGCAATTGCTGAATTGTGCTCTTTAGCACATTTGCACAGTATGTAGGATTTTCTGGCCATCTCCTCATGCCTTAGAGGATCCCTGCTATAGCTCTAATCTCTCATAGGCTATAAAACATTGTAATATGCAACAGCTCATTGTAAGCCAACTGAGTATGTGTATCGGTATGGTAATATTTGTTAGAATTTAACTTGAAGTGGTTCATTCACAAAACAAAGGATTGCAGGAACTATCAGCACTCTTCAAGTGATGTTAACGTCATTGTAGTGACATCTTTAAGATCCAGTATAGAAGAAGTGAAGATAAATGATAGCTTTCAGAAAGTTAATTTTGCCCAAGAGATCACACCTATAGCCTTGCTTAAATCCCAAGCACAGAGGAAGCAGAATTCCCCACTGATTTAACTGTAGTGCTTAGGAATATTCAGCCCTGTCAGTAGTGATGTTGCTAGTGCCTACTCCCACCTTCTTTCCAAAAATTAGGGAAGCAGCTTTGGCTGGCCACAGGATTTGTCTACCAGTCGTTTTGAGCAGATTAAGCATCTTTGGGCTTTTTTTAAATATAGCAAGGCTTATGCTGCATGGAAACTTAATCAACACATGAACTAAGTTTACAGACAACAGACTAGAAAGCAGTTCCCAACTTACTGGGAATTTTGCAAGACAGCAATGCACAAGTTATGGGAATTATGGACTTCATAATTACTTCTGACGCAGGAAGACAGAGACCAGCTTGCTTGAGATAGTCCCTTTCCTAGGCAGGGACAAACACCTTTTCTGCACCAGATCCAGGCAGTTTGCCTCTCCCTCACCAATTGAGGCAGTAATCTTGGAAACAGTCAAACCTATCAAGTCAGAGCCAAGTCCAGCTACTCCTATCCTCTCTCCAGCCATGAGTCACTATTCAGCCAAAATACTATATTAAGGTATCTGTTTTAAAGTAATTTATTGGGGAATCCGTTCCAGAAACAGCAAACAGGGCACTGGATTGTTCAATTCAGTCTTTAAACATTACTCCCTCATCTTTACCAAAAGAAAAGTCATCCTCACTCTGAAAAGGAAGCTCAGGCCACACAACAACACTGTTTCTCAAGCTTGTCAACACTGCTTCCGCTGCCCAATCATAACCTACAAGCCCTCCACCATTAAAATACTGTAATCCCTTAGGACAGATCTATCAATATCACTCAGCAAACTTACATCCCTATGAACCATCTTTTCAGGGAAGGGGCTTGTTGAACAGCAGACACCAAGCAATAGCCCAGACTCTACTCCTGGGAGGCATCTAAAAATGTCGTTGGGGGAAGACAGCATCTATCATCACCATAAGGCCTAGATGCATGACAACTCACGGGGTAATGAGCCCAGGAGCAGAGATACCCATGGTATTCACATTTCAAAGGCTTATGAACACTTTGTATTTTCAGCTGGGACTTTATCTGCCAGCACCACCTAATGATAACTAGGACAACTTGCTCCCCTGTCTCCATCTTCCACACCCACAACTAGAGATACCAGATATCTTTACTGTGCCTTCAGACAGTAGTATCCTTGAGTTAAGGATGAATGCAGAGGAGCAGCAGCCTCTGAAGCCCAAGCTAATCACATTTATTCACAGCTTCCTCTTGATAACTATGTGAAAGCAATGTTTATGTGAAGCTATAGGAGACAAGTGGTTATGTGGGCTTCTGCCACAGCTTTTCGCTTCAAAGTGGGGAAGACAGCTCAGATGCAAGGATATGAGTAGGAAGAGCAAAGTACTCCTGCACTTACCACCAGACATTAAGTAGTCCCTCAAAATGGGCATCCTGAAGTTCCCAGCCAGGGTAGCAAGATATGGTCGGATCCCAGGGAATTTCTGGCTGACACCTGTGGCTTCTGTGCTGAAGCTGCAAAAGGCACCAAAGCCCATGATGCCGTGCGGATGGTACCCAAAAATGTAATTCCTGGTGGTCAGCAGATTGTGGGTTTTAACCAGCTAGGAAAGAAAAGAGTGAGCTCATATGAAGATGGATATTTTCAGGTAAAGAAAACAAATGGAGAAAAAAAAATATCAAGAGTCCCCAGCTTTTGTCTTTCTTCCCACTAGGGAGAACAGCCTAAGGGCTGGGGTTATAGGCTACCCTGGATTTCAGAGGCTGGGGTAAGAGCAGTTACCTAGACTGCAGTTCCCCAAGCAGAGGGAGCAGAATAAACAGGCTGATCATACACACAGGACTGCCAGCCAAGCAGGAATAGGGATTGGGTTACAGTAGTCTGTGCCTATGTTTCTCCATTCCTCCCAGAGGTATCCTTGTAAGCCTCTCATCCAAACCAACCAAGTTCTTCATGGCCCTACAGCCACAGCAACGCCTCCTTCCAGGCCCTCTCACCACATTAGTGGCTCACATCCCAGTATGAAGGTGGAGGGAAAGGATAAAAATCAGTCTCCCATGACAGAAACAAGTTTTCTTAATACCTGAAAAAATGACCCAACCACTCAGTGTGCCTGCTGGCCACCCTCCAAGACGGAAAATGTGCAGAAGAGTGGCTTACCACTGTAAACTATCCCTCCTTTCAAGAGGTTTTGCTCTGGCCTACATGCCAAAAAGCCAACAAGACACCTCAAAAGCCATCCACAGCAGTGCTCCAATTTCTGCAGGACATGCTCTAGGAGCAGAGACCATATCGGTTTGGAATTGTGCAATATTCTGCAATGTTCCTAGCCATTTATTAATCTGTTTGCACACCATAGACACCCCAAAGCTGTCTTAGACATGCACAGCACAAACTATGCCCTGGAACCACTAGTAGTTTTTTTGATGCTATAAGTAGCAGCAGCATCCCATGCATCAAAGCATCTTTTCCTGGCAATATGCAAGCAGTATGAGTAAGCATACAACAGGACTGCTACATCACCCTGCGGAAGTAGGCAGTGAATTTAAGTTTTTCATGCCAGTTTTTGCTGACTACAACGCTCCAGCAGCTCTCAGACTGGGGCAGGATCTACAAGTCCCAGCAGCACCTTCAACATGAGGTGATAAACAACTGCACCCTCAAATTGCACACACAAAGGCCAGTGAGTCAGCTCCTATAAGAAAAAGCATGGATTTCCAAGATGTCCCATCAGGATTACCTATCCTACTCTCCTGGCCAAGAAGTGCTTTGGCAGCAAGCAAGCGAGCCTGTTTTGTTGAATCATGCTACAGGGAGCTCAAGTGCCATTGCGACACGCTGAAGCGGTGTGCCCAGAAATTTGATTCCCTCCTCCCCACGTTCCCACCGCCGTCCCTATGTGAGGCTACAGCACTTGTGCTATTTAAGACAGCAGCTGCAGCAGGCGTGACACTGCAGCAGGTTAAGCAAGTTGATCGCCCTCTTCCACACTTTCCTCAAGCTTTGAGGTCATGTAGGGCTCCAGGAAGCGTCTGTAGATGCTTGTGGTTGCAGCAGCTCTGTAGAGCCCCACAGCCTATGGCATACCAACTCATCCTTTCTCCCCTCTCTTCTTGCCCAATTAGTAGATTTTGCTTTCACTCCCCAGGATGGAAGGGCTGTCCATTGACCAATTAGGGCAAACAGGGCTCCCAAACTAGACTGGAAACCACTCTCCAGGAAAGACTGAGGGAGGGGAAAAAAAGCAATGATAAGCAGTCAGCAACCCCTCCATCTCTCAGCTCCTGCTCAGTTGTTGGAGAGACTCAAGGGCTGGTGGCTATAGATAACATGGCTTGGTTGGACCAGCAGTAGACGCTTCTCCTTAGAGCTCTTGTCAGGGCACAGTGGAGGGTTCCAGGCTCTAAGCCTCATCCTTCACTTGCACCAAGCACAGCTACTTTAAAAGGAAACTGGCTGGAACAGAGAATTTGTTCTTGTCGCCCTGGAGCATAAGGCATTGGTGAGCTGAGACTGGCAGAGCCACACATCTGCTCTCATATAGAAGACATGTTGTTGTCCTGCTGCCAGCCATGGCAAGCACCCCTCCACTCCAACCCTTCCACCACATGCAAGGACACCCAGTTCCCAGTGGAGCCCATTGCTTCCAGACCCTGTGTGAGGCCCAGACAAGCCATCTTTCTGTTGGCTTTCCAAGACCTCCTAATACAGAGGTAGAGGGTTACTCTTCTCAGTATCACTGGAGACTCAGTGAGAATCAAATGCTCACAACAGGAATTTACAGATCTGAGAGTCAGCCTGGGATTCATATTCCTGCTTTTCCCCAGTAATTTGTCCCAAGAAGGCTGCCTCTGCCCTCCACAGGTTGTCCCTCTGATGGGTTCACAGACAGTGAACATGTCTCCCTCCACCCAAGTCAAGCCAGGACAACCAAGGACTTCCAGGCATCAGACAAGATTTTGCACTTATCTGCAGGTGGTGCAGGTCTCAGGTCTGTGAATGCATAAACTCAGCCTTCATGGCTCCCTAAATTTCATGTAAAAGCAGGATTTTTTGAAGTGCTATAATCACTTATTTCAGCTGTCAAGCAAAACTGAAGTTTCCCTTAGGAGACTGATCACTCACTACTCATTTTCTTGCACCTTTCCCCTTGACAAGCAAACACTGAGCTGCCTTATCAGGTTAGCCTGAGGAATTCCTGTAGCTGTCATTTCACATTTCTGCAACTCTGTTCTAAACCTCCAACATTTTCTCATTTTGCCTTCAAGGTCTTCTCCAGTCCCTCACAGCCTTCAACTCCTTGAAGCCTCAATGCTCCCATTATGAAAGAGGCAGCGCATCCTGGGGTGCATTAAGAAGAGTGTGGCCAGTAGGTCAAGGGAGGTTATCCCCTCCCCACCTCCTCTGCCTTGGTGAGGCCACAGCTGGAATACCATGTCCAGTTCAAGGCTCTCCAGTTCAAGGACATGAGAGAGTCCAGTGGAGGGCTACAGAGATGAGGGGACTGGAGCATCTCCCACATCAGGAAAGGCTGAGAGAGCTGGGTCTGTTTAGTCTAGAGAAGAGGAGAATGAGGGGGGATCTTACTAATGCTTATAAATATCTAAAGGGCAAGTGTCAGGAGGAAAAGGTCAAAGTCTTTTCAGTGGTGCCCTGCAACAGGACAAGGGGCAATGAGTACAAACTGGAACACAGGAAAAAAAAAACTTCTTTCCTGTGAGGGTGACAGAGCATGGACCAGGCTGCCCAGAGAGGCTGTGGAGTCTCCTTCTCTGGAGACATTCAAAACCCCTGGACGTGTTCCTGTGTCATCTCCTCTGGGTGATCCTGCTCTGGGCAGGGGGTTGGACTGGATGAGCTTCAGAGGTCTCATCCAACCCCAACTATGCTGCGATTCTGTGATCCCAGCCAGACGACGACAGTGCTGGGACTGAAGCTGGACCTTCACCCCCTGCACTAACACGCCCATTCCCAGCTGCTGTCAAAGACCAAACCTGTTCCACTGGGAGCAAAGGTCCGTCCAACTGCTTTAGTAATAACAGATCTCTTTAAACAGATCTAAGCCTGCCTACAGAAACAAAGCAGTGCAATTACACTAAAATGTTAATATTTGAGTGCCAGACACACCCATAGAGCAATGTTGCCAATTTTATTTGTAGGAACAGGATGAGTAAGTAGCACATTCAAGTGTGGAGAAAAAGGACCACAGAGATACTGCTGCTCAGCAAGTAGCAGGATAAAAACAAGGGGTCCAGGTGTGTGGTCAGCCTACCTGCAAGCTGCAGGCCTACAGTGACTATAAAGGCATGCAGAAAACAGAAAATTGGAGCTCATAATGCACAATCCAAACAGCAGTGTGAGCATATAAGCTTGCAAAACAACTGACTGCAATTAGCAATTGCAATTAGCTGCATCACACTCTCAGGTGCTATGGAAGAAATTATCTCACCTTCCCAGCAAACACAGGCCAGGATCTGAAGACCTCTCCAGGCTCTCAGTATTACCACTACACTACATCACACCTAGGAAGCAAAAGCCTCTGTTTCCATTCTCTAAGTCATCTACAACAACTAAGGAGAAGCTTTGCCAGGAAGCCAGCCAAGCCACAGAGTGCAAGGCAAGCGCTGCAAAAAAATGTCACTGTCTTGCACCAGTCCCTGCTCTGCATCCTGGTTTTTACAGTTGCTCTATCACCTGATGCCTCCTCCCCACCAAGAGGGATGGGGAAAAGGAAAGGAGATTAATGGGTTGAAGTAGATATATATTTAAAAAATAATAAAATAATATTAATACCAGTTATAAAATACAGAGTTATACTCAGCCAATATTGTGGGGGAGTAGGCCTCGGGGTTAGGACTCTAGACAAATACCTCTAAAAATGTCAGCCACAGATGAGGGAGCAGGAGGGAGAGGAAGAGGCAGAGAAGGAATAAGGGCCGTCCCCAGTAAACTCCTTGATTTATAGTGAATGTGACATGCATGGTATGAATAGTATTAATTGGTCAGCCTGGGGTCACCTTGGGGTTGACTCTCCTAGGTTTCCATTCCCCCCAGGCCTTTGCATGGGTGTACCTCAAGACCTTGAGCACTGTGACAACCTGTATACCAGTATTAGCTGAAACCTATAACTAAGTTTGTATCAACTTTGTTCCCATGAAAATAGAATGCTGCAGTCCTTGCAAAATTGCAGTTTTCCCCAACAGAAAACAGAAAACCAACTCTAAAATTCTGTCCCACTAAACCGGGACACTGGCACGCTGCAGACTCTCCCAGCTCAGCAGGGGACTGAGAAGGTCTCACAGCGCACATCTGAAGTGCTCACTGCTTGACAAAGGAGAGCCAAAGGTCTTGCTGTCTAAAGTGTTATTGCCTGTGGAGATAAGCAGTAGCTGTGCTCACGTGCTCAGGTGATGGCTTCTTTACCCAAACAAGACCTTCAGACCATGGCACTGCCCACATGGCATCCTCAGATCAGCTGGATGTTCTCGGGAGGCACAGCACCCTGTTCACACCTGCAAGGGCTGGGGCTTTACCTGGCAGCTCAGCACCAGAATTTACCTCACTGGAAGCTTTCTCAGCTGCCTCATGCACTGCTTAGCTTAAAGCACTATTTGCAAGGCCAGCCACTAAGCAGCAGACAGACTTAAGCTTCCAGTGCCCTAAAATAGCTTATTAGTGTCAGAGCAGCTGCATGAAGCCCTAGTGAATGTGGACCACCTCTGCTCAGACTGAGGAATTGAGCCAGATTCAGGCTTGTTCTCAAATCCAGCTGGTGTTACAAAACATGACCTGGTATCTCTAGATACAGGTACAATAGTCCTACTGGTGTTTCAGGGTGGGAAGCACTGCTGACACAGGTGGAGTCCAATCCTAATCATCACAAATAACAGAGCAGAGCCTGCTTCCCATGCAGCTACTCTGATAAGGCAAGCCTGATGCCAGCAAGTAGAGCTGTGGAGGGATGCAGCAGATCTAGCCACAAGTTCTAACATACAGCTTTGTCAAGGGTCGATGCTGATGGCTTTTTAGTCTGACTAGGTCCAGCCTGCATCCTCAAGAGTGAGCTCACACCAGCTTGGGACAAGGATACCTTGGCCTCCAGATCTATACATTTATTTTATTTATATATATGCGTGCAGCTAGCATAGCTCTATGTGTAGTTAGCAAAAACTGAGGTTAGCATTACAAGGGCCACTGGTGAGGTTGTCAATGGTGAGATCTGCCCTTGCAATGCTGAGTGAACAACACATGGCACAGGATGAGGTGCAGCAGATGACCACTCCAACAAACCACAAGCTGAGGAGACAAACCAAGCTCTGCTAAGCCGTTGCACAGAGTTCAGGATACAGTCAAGGTGAATTTTCCAGACAGAAGATTTAAACAAGTAGTCATCTCTAGACCAGTCTCCCTCTTGACTGAAGACAGGTAAATAGTTTATCCAAGGAGTTCCTGTGCTCTTAGTAGGTTTAAGCCCAAAGCTGTTCTGGTGGTTGCTACCACTCTTTACAAGAGGCCATATTCCTGCCCATGATTGCAGACAACCACCTCTAGCACCTCACAGCCCTATGATTATTGTAGCAGGTTTTAACGAACACGCAGCCAGCTGGCTGTTCCCCCATAGCAGTTGCAGGAGTTATCCCACAACTGTCAACCCTCATGTGCTGCCCTTCACATACCATTTACTGGTGGTATCTGTAAACCTTGAACAACTCTACCCCCTTAGTGACAGAAGAATTGCAGCCATAAGGGGTTCTCATAATGGACTACAGGAATTAGCAAATGTTCACTTAAACAGCAGAGAAGTTCGGTTTATCTGCCAGATCTCATCTCTAAACCTACTTGAGCCCAACTGTTTGACAAGCTTCTAATTCCTAAGCAAGTCTGACCTGCATGGCTGGTACAGAGCATGTTTCTATGAAGACAGGGGCTACATATGCCATCAAAGGAGATATGAAACAAGGGGACCAGACATTTCTTGATTCAAAGTCCCCAGGAGAAAATAGCCCATTTTAGCCTTCAGCAATATCAAGAAGGCTGGGTTTGGTGCAGTACTGAGGACTTCATATTAGAAGACAATACATTTGAGACCCATCTTCAACATTAGAGCATGCTCTGTTCTTCATTAGCTATGGGACCTAGGTTGACCAGACACTTGTAGCCCATGCAGTTCTAGTGTATTATTCCATGTACGCCTACACTTGCCAAAAATTACCTGCTTACAGTGGCAAGAGGTTTGTTCACCAGCAGCATGTTCAGGTATCCTGAGAGTTCAGGTAACTTGGCAAAGGAGGAATCCAGTCTATGTTGCTTTGGCTTCCCACTGGAATTGGATTCCCTACTGCCTTCTGAGGCTAGACTATCTTAGGGCAGCTAAAAAGCCAAAGCAAGGTCCCTCCCTTCTGCTCAGGCTGAATAAAACCTGCCAACAACCTTACATAATGACCCTTTCAGCTGTGTGTCCTTCCAAAGAGGATCAAGTTCCCTCCCAGCCGAATTTGGCCACTGCACCCTTCCAAGTCCTTCACCTAATTCTGCAGTCCCCAGAGCAGCCTGGCAGCCCTGTCCTTCATCTGCAACACATCTGAACTAGTAAATACAAGCACAAGATAAGCAACCTACAGGCTGGAGAACTGGAGTTGCCACTGCTGGAAACCCCCCATATCCAAAGCAGCTAGACTTCAGAGATTATTTCACCAGTCCCTGTGAAACAGTAGGGCTTTTGGTGCAGTGTTTCCAGCTATTCTTACCTATTACACTGCTGCCCTAGAACTGGAAATTAGACCAAAACTGAGCTAGATTTACAAGAGGGGAACACGGATAGGGCTAGGCACAGCATGAAGAGAAGCTGGGGAGATGGACAGGAGCCTTACTGCTACAGGGGTGATTGCCTTAAAAAGTCTAGTGATAAAATCATCAGAAGCAGCGTCTTCTACAAATCATGATACCACCAATGATGCATTTCAGATTTTATAACCACAGCTGTTCCAAGCAGTAGTATGGCAATAGTAAGCCAGCCATGTCCTGCTTATAGTTCAGCATCATGGATAGACTAGTGTAGGTCCAACATAATCTCCATGAGAGTAATTACAATCCAGTCTAAAACAGTTAAGTCCCAATACATAAACTGTTACTTACTCTTATAGGAAAATAATCCCTGAAGTACCTCCATATAGCCCAGTTTCTCACCCACTGAGATCTTCTTCCACCTAAAAAAAAATAATTATGTTTTTAAAGCTCTTTCCACATGGGTGCCCACCAAGAAGACTAGAGGGCTCCAGATAAGTCGCTGTCTCGCTAGAGTAATTAACAATTTCATTCTTTTAAGGGAGTGGGATACTGCATCTTTCACTAAAGTCAGGTGAAACCATCCATGCTCAGGACTTCAAGCTTCAAGCCTAACAACAAATTCAGGGTAGGATCTGACTTGACATTCTGTTGTAGTTGGGCAATGGACAATTCAAGCTAGAAACAGCTCAATGTTAACCTTAGATTCATCTTTTGGGGAAGGAAGGCCATGATCCTGGATCATTTCAGTGATCCTGAAGCACTGGAGAATTGCTAATCTGGCTATGAAAGGAGTTGCCATCAAAGCTTGTTGCCCCACTACAACTAGTGGGGTCTCAGAGCCAGTTTTTACAGGGTATTTTCTGAAATTGAGTTTTCTGCTTTATTTGCAGCAACACTAACCCCATAGGGGAGCCACATTTTAAGCCATACCATAATCTGAACATTGGCAGAAGACAGCAAGATCTTGAATTTCTATGTAGGTATTTCTTACAGGAAGAACCTAAGCTTTATAAAGCTGTTGCTAAAAACCAGCACTGGCATGGTATTACTGAATTCTACCTTGTATTACTCTCAGCATCAACAAAATCTGCAGTTACTGCTTATGCCAAGGGCTGACATTCATCTACTTCACTGCATAATGCTTATGGTCAGTGATTTAGTCAAGTCCCACTGAGAAGATAATTAATGCATTCTAAGAAAGTACTTCTTTGTCTAAATATGACAACAGGGACACTTCAGTGGCAAGGATCTAATATGCAATGTTTACCTTTGTTTGGTGTATTCCAGTCAAATACCAGCCAGGCTAAATATAGAGCAGCAATCGCCCAGAAGTCTGTGCACAGTATGTACATAAGGATTAAAGTGCAAGCAACACCTGGATAGGTCCAAGAAAGAAGAAAACAAGGTTGCATCAGTTTTTGGTCTGCATTTACACTGGCATTAAGAGACCCTTGCCTTTTGACCCTTCTGTACTGAACCCTTAGTCTCAATCTGATGTTATTAATACTCAATCAAATTGGATTTAGCTAAAAAACCCTTATGTAGGACTGAGATAGCTTCCTCCAAAGCTACCTGCTTTGCAGTACCTCAACTCCCCATTTCATGGTTTCTCCAGGTATCTCTTTAATATCTATAATATTTAACATGATAATATCTATATTATCTATAATATCTACTATTTAACAAGAGCAAGACTTCACCAGCATCAAGATTTCTTTGTGGCCCACACCAAGTGGTGTCACAGTGTCACAGTGACACAAGTCTTCCACACATTACATCAGCTCTATGCCAGCCATCCCACGAGTGCCAGAGATCCCACCCACAATTTATATTTCCATTTTAGAAAACACCAAATTGGGAAGGAAAGGCAAGCGTTGCTTGACTGATGGCAATCAGCATTTTTCTCCACTTTAATTATCAACAGTACTATGGAGCAGAGCAGCCTGAGACTTCACATAACAGAAGTACTCAGAGACAAACAGCCTTTACTGTTTTACTGGTCTAACAAACACATCTTGCCCATCTCTGGCACCTCTTGGAAGGAGAGCAAGCCAAGAGGAATTCCTGCTGCAACCAGTTCCATCAGTTATCAGTTGCTTCTAAAAAATTTCTTCTCTGTGGACATTCCCATGAATGAGTCAGGTGAGAGACCTCCAAGTGCTTCAGTCTTATTTGTATGGAATGTACACATCCAGTAATTACTACTTATATAAAAGTTAGCATATTTGCATTAAAATTCTTCCAGAGTTAAGGCAAAAAAGCTTTGCTTTAGGCCAAAACGTGTTACTTACCCATGATAAGGAAAGTGAGAACCCATTGCAGCACAGAGATGATCTGGAGTTGTTTTTCTACTTTGGACTTAGATAGCCAGAACAAATCCTGCAGAGCAGAAAGAATGCTCGATCCTGTGCCTAAAGAAAAAAAAAGAAAAGAAATAGTTACATTTGCACACTGAGCAAAGTTATCAGTATCTTACTTCCAAATAAGAGGTTTTAAATCAATGTTTGTATAGTTTGCTTTTAGAGCTAGATTTGTCAAAGGCTAATTTTTCCTAGGCAATTCTACCATCCTGGAAGGGGAAGGGTTGCCATCTGCAAACATACAGCTGTTTTGGGGATGCTGGATGGGATTAATGGGTAACATCAGTTCCCACTTGAGCAAGTCTTTGTTCTCTTGACCATAAAATGCAAAGGACATTAACACATGGTCCAAACACACACCCTCCTGCTCCAAACTGCCAGTTCCTGGAAGCAGTGTTTGATAAGAGGGGAAACCCAGGAATTCATCATAAGACAGAGATCAGCTGTCACAAACTACAGGCACCAGGCTGTGGTGTGAACTGTTGCTCATCCACCCTTTACACCATCATTGCACAACTCCTAAGTGCACGGTCAAGGAAAGCTCAGCACTCCCAGCCTTACATAGCAGAGGTTAAGGGCTGCTTGAGCAACACCTCAGCCCACAGTCCCAGGGATCCACAACTCCAAGGGTAAGGAAAGCTATCAATGTGTTTCTAAAGCAGTAAATGAGGAAGGAAGGAGTTGAAAGCTACTCTTAGAAGCTTAAGCTATTCAAGTGGGGAGAGACCAAAATACTGAAGTGAAAGACTATTTCTATATAAGGAACTACCCACTGCAGCATTGCTGATGCACTGAACAATCTCGAGAAAGTAGCACTTGCTAGTGTGTTTTCCTTTACTTCTCTTCATTACTTTATTTCACAAACACAATAGTAACCAGCTAAAATGCAAATCAAGCTGCTGGCCTATGAACAAACCAGGAGACGTGTTTCATAGTATCACAGACTTCCAACTTAGGTTGGAAAAGACCTTTAAGACCATCACATTTCCTTCTCCGTTTAAGGATCAGCCTGTTCTTAGAAGATACAATGCTGCTAAGCAGTTTTTACATTGCATGGGTTAGGGTCTTGCTGTTGCTGGCAAGACATGACATAGGCAGTGGTGGTACCACAGCAAGTGCTCATGCTTAATCAAATGAAAGTTTGATAGAGAAGAGGCTCTTCTCTTGACAGAGAAGTTACTATAGTTTTGACAGTTTCTACAAAGCAGGTTTTACTAGCACATCCTTTAAATACACAAAGGATTGACAGCCACACACCTTCCTGTTTCTGCTAGTAAAGGACATCAACAGGGAGCTACATCAGACCCTGCAGCCTAAATCCAGAGCCAACCCACCTAGCCTAGGCCCTTGGCTCTGCTTAGTCTCTGTTGAACAAACAAGCCCTGCAATGGGTTGGGCATTAACTACTCCAAGCAGACCAAGTTTTGGTCATGGATAGATCATGTCACTGCAACTGCCAGTAAATCAAAACCTACAGCACTAATTCAGTCTGAAGCAGCAGCTCAAGTTAAAGGCAGGGCTTTGCAAGATAACGTAGTACTTGCTGAATTCACTATTAATACTGTTTCTCCTCAGTTTCTGAGATGAGACAGAGCAACACGCTGAGGAGTTGAACCACCACCGATTTGTAACACTTGAGTACCTAAGCAAGAAGACTCAGAAATCCCATGCTGCAGCTTTTCCTATTTGACAGCAAATACCCAAATTTTGGGGGAGTGATAAACTCCACTCCATTTTTCAAAGACTGAGTCACTCTGTCCAAGGG